TTACAGACTTGAGCCACCACGCCCCACAGCCTGTCAATGTTTAATGTCTTGATTCTGATAAAATGTGTGAATGGGGCTGGGCGTGATGGCTTATGCCTGTAATTTTAGTATTTTGGGAAGCTGAGGTAAGAGGATTGTTTGAGTCCAGGGATGCAAGACCAGCCTGGCAGCATAGTGAGACCTCATCACTACAAAAATAAAAAAATTAGCCAGGCTTGGTGGCACTGCATCTGTAGTCCCAGTTACTTGGCAGGCTGACGCAGGAGGATCACTTGAGCTCAGGAGTTCGAGTCCAGCCTGGGCAATATAGTGATATCCTATTTCTAAAAAAATAAAATAAAAGAAAGAAAGAATATTGGTAGAATGCATCATCTACTGACAAGCACAGCCCCCTCAGAGGTATAAAAATGTGTATTCTCCTTTTGAGATGTTTATTTATTTATTTTTTTAGCAAGGCATGATTTGCAAGAACACTTTAGGTTTGTCATTCCATTATTAGTTGTTCACATTTCATGAGGCCAGACTCACCCCAGGCAGCTGTTTATGAAATCGGACATGACTCATTGATCTGTGAGCATCGACTCCCAGAGCGATCAATGAACTGAAAGAAAGGTTCTCAAACTCACATCATGGCCATCACTCACAAAAGAAAAAGAAACATTCTCCTTTCTTTCACTTTTCATTTCCAAATATGATACACCAGGAGAGGTCTCACCTTGGTGTCACATACAAAAAATACTACAAGGAAATTACAAAGCACCAAAGGACAGTCCTTCCCAAGGGGAGGACTCGGTTAGACTCCATTGATCAAAATAACTGCTCATTCTGGATTAAGAGCTCACAGCCGCCTGATCAGAGCCTTTATATCTGTGACCAGCAGCAGTTGTTCTAACAATCTGCCACACATGGGGCAACTTTGAGGGTCTGCGAGCCTGATTGTAATTTTTTTTTTTTTTGTCTACTCAGAAGGTAAGTGGTAAATATGTGGACTGTCTTGTTTATGAGGGATTTATAGAAAATCCCTGTGAGCATGGAAAGATAAGATCTGAAAATAAAATGCAGGACAGGACCAGTAGCTTTTTACATAAGTATTTGATAATTGTATTAGTATTTAATATCGGTAATAATGTTTAATATTAGTAACAATTTAATATTTATATTGATATTTAATGTTAGCAAATATTTAATACTAGTAATAATTTAATATTGGCAATAATTGTATTAGTATTTATTAGCCATAGTTTTAATTCATATAATGAAATACTAATTAGTATTAGTATTTGATAATAAAAGAAAATTTTAAAATATTTTCACTCATTTGGTGGTAAAAAGTAGTTCTTTTTAGGACAGATAGGACATGTCTAAAGGATCTTGATCTTTCATTCCAATATGTTAGGTGGTATTTCTGTTTTTCAGTGGCTGCATTGCTATTTAAAAATAATAATCTCCATGTTTTAAAGAGATAGTGGCAAAAAGAGGAATCATGTAGTTTAGGGTTGCCAAATAGAGAATAAGTTAATCAAAATGTCTTAGATTTCCCACCTCAGGGTTTTTTTTTTTTTTTTTTTTGAGTTGGAGTCTCACTCCATCACCCAGACTGGAGTGCAGTGGCCGCTCCTGGCCACCGCAGCCTCGACCTGCTGGGCTCCGGCGATCCTTCCGCCTCAGCCTTCCGAGTAGCTGGAATTACAGGCATGCACTACCACGCCCGGCTGATTTTTTGATTTATTGTAGAGATGAGGTCTCACCAAGTTGCCCAGGCGGGTCTCGAACCCGCAGGCTCAGGCAATCCACTCACCTCAGCCTCCCAAGGCGCGGGATTACAGGCTGAGTCACCGAGCCCGGCTTAGGGTTTTTATATAACATAGAAGCTCCAGGTTTTGGCAAGTGCTAAAATAAAGAACATGACCAGAAATTTTTAAAGGAATAATTATGGGGAAAGACCTAGACTCTTTAAGACAGGATAGAACTTAGTAAATTATTGCTTTGATTAATGAGGTCTGAGTCTATAATTTTAAAATCTAATTTTTTTTTGCAAGTCATATATTTGACTACATTCTTAACTTTTGAATTTCAAAGAGTGCACAAGTGTTAGAGTAAAATGTGAAAGTCTCATTAATAACTGCTTCCAAATTCTGAGAGGTATATTCTATTTTTTCAATTTGATTAAAAAAATTTAAATACATAGATCGGTAAAAATTTACATAAATATATACATTGGATAAGAATCAGTCATGCTTTCTTAAAGTTCGTTTTTCCTTTTTTTTGAGTCAGCATCTCACTGTCACCCAGGCTGAAGTGCAGTGGCACACACATAGCTACCGCAGCCTCAACTTGCTGGGCTCAGGTGATTTCCACCTCAGCCTTCCAAGTAGCTGGAATTACAGGTGTGCACCACCATGGCCAGCTAATTTTTTGATTTATTGTAGAGACGAGGTCTCACCAAGTTGCCCGGGCTGGTCTTGAACCCACAAACTCAGACGATCCTCTCACCTCCGCCTCCAAAGTGCTGGGATGACAGGCATGAGCCACTGTGCCTGGCTCTCCTTTCTTTTCTTCTGTCTCTCCCTTCTCCCTCCAAACTCTCTCTCCCTTCATTACCTTCGACAGACCTCAGGTAACCTGTATTAACTTCCTGGTGTCTGCATTTTGACACCATGTTTAATATAATCACATACATATGTCTCATATACACATGCACACACATGTGTACATGTATAGGGTTTTATTTTACTCAGTGGCTCACAACCCTACATTGAATCTTTGGATTAATTGATTTAGGAAGAATTGACATCTTTACAATATTGAATTTTCCATGGTATATCGCCTTAAACTAAATTTGTTTACATTGTGCATGTGTGTGTGTATTTGGCATTGTGAGCCATCTCCTCCTCCTCCTTCTTCTTTTTGAGTCAGGGTCTTACTCTGTTGTCCAGGCTGCAGTGTAGTGGCACTATCATGGCTTACTGCAGTCTTGACCTCCTGGGCTCAGGTGATCCTTCTGCCTCAGCCTCCCAAGTAGCTGAGACTACAAGCATGCGCCACCACACCCAGCTAATTTTTAAATTTTTTGTAGAGGTGAGGTCACACTATGTTGCCTAGGCTGGTTTCGAACTCCTGGGCTCAAGGAATCCTCCCACGCTCAGCCCTCTTCTTGAAATTCCATCTGGCTTTGACTTTAGTGACACTACCCTCAGTTTTCCTCTTCCCTCTCTTTGGCCATTTCTCATTTTTCTTTGCAGACATTTGTCCCCTCTACGCTATTTGTCAGGATTCTGTCATTGGCTCACTTTTTTCTTTTGTTTCTGAGTAGTCCCCTCTACCTACTCATTATCTATTCACAAATGCATATCTACTGTTTGCACCGTTTCTTACATTGTTGTTGTTGTTCTCTAGACCCTAATGCCTTCTTCTGGATATCTCCACCTTTGCCATTCAGTTTTTGTTGAGTAGAATCTGTAATTTTTTCTAATTATAATTTCTGCACTAATGTGTGCTTTGAAAACCTCCCTCTACTTGAAGATTATAAAACTTATTCTTGTACAATTTATTTTAATACTTTTATGGCTTATTATTTTGCATCAACTACTTTATTTTATCTGGGATTTATTTCTGTGTTTGGAGATAAGTAGAAAAAAATCGAAGGATTCCATATTTTTTCTCATATTTTTTGGTTGATATTCATTGTCATGTTTTCAGTCTGGGTCCACTTTCGATTAGTGAAATTATAGATTAGTGAAAGTCTTTAGTGATCAAGTACGTGAGGGCTGAGATCAGATTTATCTTGTTTGCTGTTGAGTTCCTGGCATCTAGCACAATGCCTAGGTGATAGTAAGATTTTAGTAAATTTATTGAGTGTATGACTTACGGAAGGGGAAAATCGTTTCATTATACATTTTAACTTAACAATACTTTCCCGTTTTTCCTCGACATCTTTCTTATTTGGAAGTCTTCCATCTCTTAGAAGGCTTTAACCTACTAAGTATTTTTACCTTATTGAACCTAGAAAAACATTAGTTTTTCAGAATAAACCAAGTAACCTATTCATGTCAGCAATACCTTGATTTTTTCCCAGATGCCGAGCTTGCTGGAGAAGCAGTTTATGTTCACTTTTCTTCTAAGTTAGCAAAAAAATCCCATGAAAGCATGATGTTCCAGATGTGGCTTAGTGGATGTAATTATGCGTTATTGTGGGTACTGATTCTGTGTCTGCCTAATCTTTATTGCCACCCTGATAAGTACCAGTTCCTGAGGGTTTACTTGACTGATTTATGCTTTCTTTATTTATACTTTGTCGTGCAATGAAAGCCATGGGTAATATGTAACGAAGATCCACTTTGTTTTTCCTGTTGATGGTTATTTTGGTGATAGGGTCAAGGAACCAATGAAAACACAATTCAATCCGCTATTATATATTGATGCCTTCTGTGCACAAAGAACAAAATGCTATAGAAAGTATCTCCATCTGCAAGGAGTGTACCTTTCTAGGAATGGGAAGAGGAGTCACAACCATCATAAAACTTAGGCACAGTGCCCAATGAGTGGTATTAAACAGGAAAGGGAAAAATAACTCCAACTTGAGATGGTTAGGGGAAAGTTCTGAAGAGTTGAGACTCATTTAAGATGATGTCAGGTGTATGGCAAATGGAGCATTCATACCGATAGAAAAATGAGGAAAATGGAATGAAAATGCATTGTACACCGGTGGAGGCCAATTAGCGCTCTGGGACGACAGGCAGCTATGTGTGGGAGAGTAGAGTGCAGGGAGCAAATTGCGTCAGACTGTGGAGGGTCTTCCGTGTTTTTCCAGAAACGAATGTCTTTGGAAACATCCAGTGTCAAGCATGGGACATACATATCAGGCCTGGAAAATCCTTCATGATATTGCTAAAATAACAAAGGGACCTGCTGCATTTATGAGCCTGTATCATTCTGTATTCGAACCGAGGGTGCTGCTAACCTCAGTGTTTTCTGTATATTTCAGACAGTGGTCTCTAACCATGGGGGATTGGAACTTATTGGGTGGCATCCTAGAGGAAGTTCACTCCCACTCAACGATAGTGGGGAAAATCTGGCTGACCATCCTGTTCATCTTCCGAATGCTGGTACTTCGTGTGGCCGCTGAGGACGTCTGGGACGACGAGCAGTCGGCGTTTGCCTGCAACACCCGGCAGCCAGGTTGCAGCAACATCTGTTACGATGATGCCTTCCCGATTTCTTTGATCAGGTTCTGGGTTTTGCAGATCATCTTCGTGTCTTCTCCTTCTCTGGTGTACATGGGCCATGCGCTTTATAGACTCAGGGCCTTCGAGAAGGAGAGGCAGAGGAAAAAGTCACAGCTTAGAGCCCAGATGGAGAACCCAGAGCTTGACTTGGAGGAGCAGCAGAGGCTAGACAGGGAGCTGCGGAGGTTAGAGGAGCAGAAGAGAATCCACAAAGTTCCTCTGAAGGGATGTCTGCTGCGTACGTACGTCTTACACATCTTGACCAGATCGGTGCTGGAAGTAGGGTTCATGATAGGCCAGTATATCCTCTATGGGTTTCAAATGCACCCCCTCTACAAATGCACTCAGCCGCCTTGCCCCAATGCAGTGGATTGCTTTGTATCCAGGCCCACCGAGAAGACCATTTTCATGCTTTTTATGCACAGCATTGCAGCCATCTCCTTGGTACTCAATATGCTGGAAATATTCCATCTGGGCATCAGGAAAATCATGAAGACACTTTACGAAAAATCCAGCAGTGAGGGCATTGAGGAAGAGACGGGCCCTCCATTCCACCTGAGGAAATATTCAGTGGCCCAGCAATGCATGATTTGCTCTTCTCTGCCCGAAAGAATCTCGCTCCTTCAAGCAAACAATCAACAGCAAGTGATTCGAGTTAGTGTGCCAAAGTCTAAAACCACGTGGCAAATCCCACAACCCAGGCAACTCGAGGTGGACCCTTCCTGTAGCAAAAAAGACTGGGCTGAGAAAGAGCTGAACAGCGGACAGCTCCATGTACACAGCCCGTGCCCTTCGAATGGAGGTGCCAGGGTTCAGCACCAGGGACAGCAACCAGACCATCCCTCTTTTGGCCTACAGAACGCAGTGTCCCAGTCCTGGCTAGGTGCAGCAACGGCCCCTGGAAACTGTCCATCCTGTGTAATCGGAACCTGGGGACAGTCCCAGGACCTGGAGCCCTCAGGGGAACCCCCCTCAGATCTTCACAGTCACTGCAGAGACAGCGAAGGCAGCGTGAGAGAGAGTGGGGTCTGGATAGACAGATCTCGCCCAGGCAGTCGCAAGGCCAGCTTTCTGTCCAGATTGCTGTCTGAAAAGGGACAGCTGCACAGTGACTCAGGAAGCTCCGGATCTCCCAACAGCTCCTGCCTGGATTTTCCACACCGGGAAAACAGCCCCTCGTCTCTGCCTTCAGCCACTGGGCACAGAACATCAATGGTAAGACAGACAGCCCTCCTGATCTCAGAACTGTCACAAGAGCTGGGCCACTCGTTCCCCTTTCCTCCTTCCTGGTGTATATATGTCTGTGTTGAGAGAGAGAGAGAGAGGTCTATGAAGAGAGAGATTAACTTATGGAGAGAGGTTCATTCATTTTATACATTCAGTTAAATTCAGTTCATGAAATAAACTTAGAGAAAACACTTTATAACAATCACTATTTCTTTTTTTTTTGAGTCGGAGTCTAACTCTTTCACCAAGGCTGGAGTGCGGTGGCCTGCTCATGGCCACCGCAGCCTGGATCTGCTGGGTTCAGGTAATCCTTCCACTTCAGCCTTCCAAGTAGCTGGAACCAAAGGCATGTGCCACCACACCCGGCTCATTTTTTGATTGATTGTAAAGAGGAGGTCTTACCTTATTGCTCAGGCTGGTCACGGACTCCTGGACTCAGGCAATCCTCTCGTCTCTGCCTCCCAAAGTGCTGGGATTACAGGCATGAGCCACTGCACCCAGTCTATAACAATCACTCTTTTAAGTGCTGGGCATAGGATGGATAAAATACAGTCTCTACCATCAAAGAGCTCAGAATCTAGATGGAAAGATTCGACAGGTAAACATGCACATGTATTGAGTATAAGGTGTGTGTTAGTGGAAGTGAGTGGGCAGAGGAGGGTGTGGTCAATTGTGTATGGACAGGTCAGGGAAAGCTTCATAGTTGAAGTTACTTTGAATTGAGTTTTTTTTTTTTAAGTTGGAATCGTGCTCTGTCTCCCAGGCTGGGGTGCAGTGATCCATTCATGGCTCACTGCAGTCTCAACCTCCTGGGTTCCTTTGCCTCAGCCTCCCAAGTAGCTGGGACTACAGGTACATGCCACCATGTCTAGCTAATTTTTTAATTTTTATGTAAATGAGATTTTGCTATGTTGCCCAGGCTGGTCTTGAACTCTTGGGTTCAAGCAGTCCTCCCACCTTGGTCTCCCAAAGTGCTAGGATTACAGGCATGAGCTACCACGTTTGGCCTGAAATGAAATTTTTCTTTTTTTGAGTCAGAGTCTTACTCTGTCACCCAAGCTGGAGTGCTATGACACGCTGCTCACAGCCACCGCAACCTTGAATTGCTGGGCTCAGGTGATCCTTCTGCCTCAGCCTTCCAAGTAGCTGGAACAGGCATGTGCCACCATGCCCAGCTAATTTTTTTTTGACTTATTGTAAAGACAACGTCGTGTCATGCAGGCTTTGAACCCCTGAGTTCAGGCAATCCTCTCGCCTCCTCCTCCCAAAGTGCTGGGATTACAGGCGTGAGCCACCGTGCCCGGCCTGAACTGAATCTTGAAAGATGTGGCGAGTTTCTCCAAAAATGGGAGGACGAGGGTACAGGGAAATAGGCTGTCCTGGTAGAGGAAACAGCATAGCCAGAGGCTGAGAGGTGTGACACACCAGGGCAGTCTGAGGAGCTGTGTGTGGCTAGAGCCCAGGTGGGAGAGGGCTGTAGAGGAAAGGGAGGCTGGAGAAGTAGGTGTGGAGGCCCTGTAGGGAGGCCATGGGGAACTGATAGACGATGTGAAACAGAGGAGGGAGTGGTCCAGAGTTGTAGTTTAAAAAGTTCTCTCTGTCTAGGCCGGGCACAGTGGCTCAAGCCTGTAATTCCAGTACGTTGAGAGATCAAGGTAAGAGGATTGCCTGAGCTCAGGGGTTCAAGACCCGCCTGGGCAACTTGGCAAGACCTCATCTCTACAATAAATCAAAAATTATCTGGGCATGGTAGTGCGTGCCTGTAGTTCCAGCTACTCGGAAGGCTGAGGTGGAAGGATCGCCAGAGCCCAGCAGGTGGAGGCTGCAGTGGCCGTGAGTGTGCCACTGCAGTCCAGCCTGGGTGACAGAGTGAGACTCCAACTCAAAAAAAAAAAAAATAGAAGTTCTCTTTGTCTCTGTCACAGTGTGGATATTGGACCAGAGAAGAGATCGTTTATAACCTTGAGTTGTCCTCATCTCACCAAGGAGGGAGGGTGTACGCCATCATATTGATACTTCTAGCATTTAAAATTCATGTACAAATATTTGGTGATATATTTTACAAAGATGAAAATCAATATTGTATTGATTTTAATTTTGGTCTTTAAAAAGTCACTGTGGGGTAAACATTTCCCAGCCATCGTAAGCCATAATGGAGATTTACTGTGGATCCTTCCCAGTTCTGGGACAAAGAAAACCACTTGCTCTACTCAACTGCTCCCAACAGTCAGCTTCGTTCAACTAATGAGTTTGGTGGAAGGACTTCCCGGCTGAGCGCACGGGGTGGAGCCTGGTGGTGTTTCTTCCTTTGGTTCATTCTTTGTGTTAATGATGCTTGATTCTGAGCCGGGCTCGGTGGCTCAGCCTGTCATCCCGCACCTTTGGGAGGCTGAGGTGAGTGGATGGCCTGAGCCCGTGGGTTCGAGACCCGCCGGGGCAACTTGGCGAGACTTCATCTCTACAACAAATAAAAAAAATGAGCCGGGCATGGTAGCGTGCGCCTGTAGTTCCAGCTACTCGGAAGGCTGAGGCGGAAGGGTCGCTGGAGCCCACGAGGTCGAGGCTGCGGTGGCCGGGAGTGGCCGCTGCACTCCAGTCTGGGCGACAGTGAGACTCCAACTCAAAACAAAAGCAAAAACAAAAAATAATGCTTGATTCTCTCTACCCCAGATTTACATCTCCTATGGGTTTACAGATACTATTGCCACTGCACTCAAGCCATACCTTGAGTGGGAGTCAGCCTATTTGGATTTCTACTAAACTACTTCGCTCAAACTGATGTTCATTTCTTGTCAGTGACGCGCCCTCTGTCTAGGATCCATGGATGAGTGCTTCGTGCCCTATGCCAAACTAGAGCAGGGTTCTTAACCCTGGCCATATATGAGACTCATCTGAGAGCTTTATTTTTTTTTCCTTTTTTTTTTGAGTGGGAGTCTCACTCTGTCACCCAGGCTGGAGTGCAGTGGCACACTCACGGCCACCGCAACCTCCACCTACAGGACTCAGGTGATCCTTCTGCCTCAGCCTTCCAAGTAGCTGGAACTACAGGCATGTGCCATCATACCCAGCTAATATTCTGATTTCTTGTAGAGATGAGGTCTTGCCAAGTTGGCCAGCCTGGTCTCGAACCTGTGGGTTCAGGCAATCCTCCCACCTCAGCCTCCCAAAGTGCTGGGATTATAGGTGTGAGCCACCACGCACTGCGTGCGAGCTTTAAAAAACTGTTGTACCACCTGGGTGCAGTGGCTCAAGCCTGTAATCCCAGCACTTTGGGAGGCTGAGGCGAGAGGATTGCCTGAGCTCAGGGGTTCAAGACTAGCCTGGGCAACTTGGTGAGACCTCATCTCTACAATAAATAAAAAAGACTAGGTGCGGTGGCTCAAGCCTGTAATCCCAGCACTTTGGAAGGCTGAGGCGAGAGGATTGCCTGTGCCTGCAGGTTCGGGACCAGCCTGGGCAACATGGTGAGACCACGTCTCTACAATAAAAAAATTACCCAGGTGAGATAGCACGTGCCTATAGTTCTGGCTGCTTGGAAGGCTGAGGCGGAAGTATCGCCGGAGCCCAGCAGGTCGATGCTGGGGTGGCTGTGAGCATGCCACTGCACTCCAGCCTGGGCAACAGTGAGACTCTGACTCAAAAACAAACAAAAAAACCTGTTGTGCCCAGGACCCATCCAATTCCAATTAAACATGAATCTCTGTAGGTGGAATGCAGGCATCAATATTTTAATATTTTATTTTATTTTTCTAGTCCTGTATTCTAGTCCTGAATACAGACTCCAAAGGCATCGATATTTTTAAAACTCCCATGGTGATTGCAATGTGCAGGCAGGGTTGAGAACCACTATTTTAGGATAACTTTGCCAGTGGCCACTGTTCTTAGCCTCTTTTGTAAAGTCAGTCAGACAATTTTCATCCTTTTCCTTTTCTTGAAACCTCGACGAGAGGAGCCATTGTATTGGCAGAATATCAAGGGAGGGGCAGCATTTTCTAGGGGAGACATGTTTTCTTAATCCTTCAGTTTACTTTTGGGAGAGGCTAGCCAAGTTCAGAAACTGGAGAAAAGGTGATGAAGCTGATGGGCTTGCCTTTTTTTTTTCTCCCCTGTGTGGACTTTATTGTATTCATTAATAAAAATAAGGGCCAAAAATAATTTGCACCGAGGAAATGCATCACTGAGTTTTTTTATCAATACAGGACATGAAAGTTAAATCAGGCATGTCTTACACTTTGAATGTCAGTTTTTTGTGTGGTTTTTTCTTTTGCTTTGGAGTCTCACTCTGTCACCCACACTACAGTGCAGTGGCATGCTCATGGCCACTGAGCCTCGACCTGAAGAGCTCAGGTGATCCTTCAACCTCAGCCTTCCAAGCAGCTGGAATGAGCCACCACGCCTGGCTAATTTTGTTTTTTTGATTTACTGTAGTAAAAGTCTCGCCATGTTGCCCAGTCTGGTCTCGAAATCTGGACTCAGGTAATCCTCTCGCCTCTGCCTCCCAAAGTGCTGGGATTAGAGGCTTGAGCCACCACACCCAGTGTTTTCATCTTAATAAAGTTCAGTCTATGAATTCTTTCAGGGATTGTGCCTCTGGTGATGTCTCTAAAGAGTCATCACATACCCAAGCTCATCTAGGTTTTCTCCTATGTTATTTTCTAGGAGTTTTATAGTTTTGCATTTTTACATTTAGGTCTGTGATTACTCTGAGTTCATTTTTGCAAAGGGTATAAGGTCTGTGTCTATTTTTTTGTGTGTGCATGTGAATATCTAGTTGTTTCAGTACCATTTGTTGAAAAAATGATATTTTCTCCATTGTATTGCCTTTGCTCCTCACCTAAGATCAGTCGACTATATTTGTGTACATCTATTTCTGGATTCTCTATTCTGTCCATTGATTTAATTGTTTATTCATTCAACAATACCACATCATTTTGTTTCCTGTAGTTTTATAGTGAATTTTGAACTCACGTAGACTTTGTTTTCCTCCTTGGATATTGAGTTGTTCATTCTGGACATTTTGCCCTCCATATAAAATTTATTTATTTATTTGAGCCTGGGTCTCACTCTATCTGGAGTGCAGTGACACGACCATGTCTCACTGCAGCCTCCATTTCTTGGGCACAGGTGATCATTCTGCCCGAGCCTCCTGAGTAGCTTGG